CCCCAGGACCGGTTTTCTGTCTTCAGTAGTTGCTGACAGTCCTAGGGCCTTGCGATGGCCCCCAGGGGCCGAAAACAGCAACAAGAAACAACGTCAGTCGTAATGACGTCTCGGCGCAAAGGGGTCCCGGTGGAGAGACCGCACCAGAGGGGGGGAGGAGGAGGTGGCGGAGGAGGCGGCGGGGAAGCGGCGCGAAAGGGCGGCACGCTGCCTATCTCGGTGGAGAAGCGCGCCTTGGGCAGCGCCGCCCCGCCCGCGCGGCCGCGGCCTCGCTGCCCAGCGCTCTTCTGCTGTTCCTGCCCCCTCCTCCTGTTCCTGCCTCCTCGTCCACCTCGCCTCCCTTCCCGTCCTCCCCGCCGCCCTCCTCGGATTGTCCCTCCTCGCCCCGATCTTCTCCTGATGTTCTGCCCCTGCTGCCTCGCTCCTTCGCCACCTCCTCCTCCTCCTCCTCCTCCTCCGCAGCCTCCTCGTCCTCCTCCTCCTCCTCGCCCCTCTCCTCATCATAATCATCACCATCAGCAGAAGCAGCAGCAGCAGCAGCAGCATCAGCATCGGCATCAGCAGCAGCATCCGCAGCATCAGCATCATCATCATCATCATCATCAGCGTCATCATCATCATCATCATCAGCTTGGTCATCATCATCCTCATCATCGTCGTCATTATCTTCATCATCATCATCATCATCAGCAGCAGCAGCATTACCATCAGCATCATCATCATCATCATCATCATCATCATCATCATCATCATCATCATCATCATCATCATCATCATCATCGTTATCATCGCCAGCATCATCAGCAGCATCATCACCACCGGCATCATCATCAGCATCACCATCACCATCAGAATCAGAACCATCACCATCGTTATCATCGTCATCACCATCAGAATCAGAACCATCACCATCACCATCAGCAGCAGCAGCATCCGCATCGGCATCAGCAGCATCAGCATTACCATCAGCATCATCATCGTCATCATCATCACCATCACCAGCATCATCGGCATCGTCGTTATGATCTGCATCATTATCAGCATCATCAGCAGCAGCATCATCACCACCATCATCAGTTTCATCATCGCCAGCATCATCATAATCATCAGCATACTCACAATCATCATCATCAGCATCATCATCACCATCATCATCAACATCATAAGCATCGTCGTCGTCAACATCAGCATCAGCATCAGCAGCCGCAGCAGCAGCAGCAGCAGCATCATCATCGTCATCATCGTCATCGTCATTATCAGCATCGTCATCATCATCAGCATACTCATCATCATCATCACCACCATCATCAGCAGCATCATCAGCAGCATCTCCAATATCATCATCGGCATCAGCATCAGCAGCATCGTCATACGCATCATCAGCATCGCCACAAGCATCGCCACCACAACCACCATAACCGTCATTATCAGCATCATCATCACCACCATCATCATGATCAGCATCATCACCACCATCATCATGATCAGCATCATAAGCATCAGCATCAGCAGCAGCATCAGCATCAGCATCATCCCCCTCCTGGGGACGCACCCTCTACCCGCCCCGTGCAGGCTTCTCTGTGCAGCCCCGTGCAGGCTTCGTACTTCCACACTGCAGGGCGTGGCCCCTGCTTGGCGGCCCCCTGCCCATGCGGCCTCCGGCAGCCCGCGCCGAGCCGCGCGCTCCGCCGGCCAGCCGCGCGTGGACCACTCGCCTCTCGCCTACTGCTCGCTCGCTCGTTCGCTCCCCTGCCCCCTCTCCCGCTTCCCGCCCCCCCGCCCCGCTCCCCCTCCTCCGCATACTCCTCCTCCCCGTACTCCTCCTCCCCTTCTTTTGGATTCCCTTCGGGGATCATCCGTTAAAATTGTAACGATACAGAGAAGACTAGCATGGCCCCTGCGCAAGGATGACACGCACAAATCGAGAAGTGTATACTCCTCCTCCCCTTCCTCCGATGAGGCGTGGTGCCTGCGAACCTCCTGTCGCTCAGCACTCGCCTCAGTTTCCCCCCCCCCCCCTCCCGCCTCGTCCCTGCCGCACGTGCCCGCAAACTGCTTTGGCCGCGGCTGGACCGCCTGCGCCTTTTCACGACCTCCTCGAGAACTGGGGCATGGGGAGGCGGGGGCATCGCCAACGAAAACTCCCGCCCTGCCCCCGCCGCTCGGCCGCGCGGCCCCTGCCAGATCGCCCGCCGCCCACCCACCCCTCCCCTGGGCGGACAATGTGGCAACCTGGGGTCGGTTTTTGGCAGATTGTGAGAGATTTGACCCTTCGTTTTGAGAGCCCAGATTTCTATTCCCTGCAGCCGATCATGGCGCGCGTCATGGTGCAATTCTCAGGGCTGTAGCTGCAGCACAGCTCTCGAAAATTAGGAGCACCCCCCCGACCACCAGTGGCTCGGCGTTCCGCCGCGCGGCGCGCGGTGCCCTCCGCCGCCCGGCGCCCCGCGACGCCGCGACCGCACGGAAGAGTGGCCCCTCGCCGGAGTGAGCTCCTGGCGCGGGCCCACCGGGCCACCTGTCAGCCACGCGCATTACGTAAGAGTGGCCCCTCGCCGGAGTGACCTTCTGGTGCGGGCCCACCGGGCCACCTGTCAGCCACGCGCAGCAGAGGGGTAAGAGGGAGGGGGACGGTTTCTTAGAAGCACCCTGCTTCTCAGAAGGCGCGGGCCTTGTCCATAGATGTAAGGCCGCCGCCGTCTAAGAAGCGGCTTGCCTCTAAGAACTTCCCCCCTCCTCCTGCCCCCGTGCGTGCGTGGCTGACACTGGTTGCCAAATGTCCGACACGAAAGCACTGCAGCGATGCGAACCGATTGATTCGCTGTGATGTTGGGGCCGACGCTGTTCGCTCGTTGGCGGGTCAGACTCGCAGTCTGGTGGCTCCCGGAAGGAATCAGGACCAGCGAAGCTGTCTCACGTCCGTCCTTGTCTCTCCCCGCACTCCTCAGTCCCCCCTCTCCGCGGCGCGCCTGGGGGGGGGAAGTGAGAGGGGGCGGGCCTTCTCGGAAGGCTTGGAAGTCCCCCAGCCTTCTGAGAAGGGCTTCCGAGAAGCCCCGCCGCTGTCTGAGAGCGCCTTCTCCCTCTCGCTTCCCCCCTCGCCCGCGGCCGACCTTCCCTGCAGCCGAGACTGATGAGCAGGTCGACCCTGCCAAATCACGGGTACCCTCGTGTCCTGAGCTTCGCCACCCATGCATTCCTACATTCCTATGACAATGTGGCCCTCGGAAGGGTCTTGTGACCGCCCTCGGAAGGGTCTTGTGACCTCTCGCGTGTCCTCTCCAATCAGCCCCGACTGTATCCCATCTCCTCCCTCCCCGTCCTCATCTGCCCCCGCCTCTCTGCTCCCTGCCCGAGCGCAGGGGTCGCCAGCAAAAGCGATGCGTTCTACCCAGAAACGCCATCTAGATTGCCGAGGTTTAGCACAGCCCGTACACATTGTTCAGTTATATTTCTTCGAAAGTTCTTTGATTGTTTGAGGTGCCAAGATCCTTTCATTCCCTACCTAGGCTCTGCCTAGAGGGTTCTTACTCTCTTAGCTTAAAGGGGCCAAGCAGTGTTCCCCGCCCCGGGTGGTTCCCCCAGTATCCACCCCGCGGTTCCCCCAGCTGCGCCCCCTTAGCTTAGCTGGGCTTACCTCATCTTAGCTTAGCCTAGCTCAACTTAGCTTAGCTTAGCTTCATCTTAGCTTCGCGTAGCTGTAGCTTAGCTTAGCTTAGTTTAGCTCAACTTAGCTTAGCCCAGCTCAGCTTAGCTTAGTTTAACGCAGCGCAGCATTAGCATAGCACAGCATAGTATAGCATATCATAGCATAATATAGCATAACATAGCGCAGTATAACATAGCGCAGCATAGCATGTAATAGCATAGCATAGCGCAGCATAGCATAGCATACCATAGCATATCTTAGCATAGCACAGCGCAGCATAGCATAGCATAACATAGCATATCATCGCATCGTATAACGCAGCATGGCATAGCATAGCATAGCGCAGCATGGCATCGTATATCATAGCATAGCATGGCGCAGCATTTCATAGCATAGCATAGCGCAACATAACATGTCATTGCATAGCCTAGCATAGTATATCATAGCGCAGCATAGCATAGCATGGCATAGCATGGCATAGCATAGCGCAGCATAGCATAGCATAGCATAGCACAGCGCAGCATAGCATAGCATAGCCTAGCGTAGCATAGCGCAGCCTAGCATACCCTACCCTAGCATAGCCTGGCATAGCGTAGCATAGCGCAGCATTGCGCTGCATAGCATAGCAAATCATAGCATAACATAGTATAGCATAGCATCAACGCAAAGGCAAAGCAACAGCAGCAACAGCAAATCAAAGCACAAGCAACGCAAAGCAAATCAAAGCAAAAGCAAAAGCAAAAGCAAAGCACAGCAAACTCCTAGGTAGGGTCGCTCTGGGATATTTCTAATTGTTCTATCCTGGGCCTCTTCCTGGCCACTAGGGGGCCAGGAACAATTAGAAACGAGCACAAAGATATGAGCACGATTAGAAATGAACGACGTGTAGGTTTCAACCCACCCCGAGCTGAGCAGACGCGCGATCTCCACGAGCCCGACCCCGATCCCGATCCTCTGCTCCCTCGTTCAGCCGTTGCCCTCCCGCTCCCTCCCTCTTCCGCCCCGTTCCCATCTCGGGTGTTCCCCCCCTGCCTGCCCTCGCCATCATCCCCCTCCTTGCCCTCCCAGCAGTGGCGCCCTCGAGGGCGCGAAGTTGCTCGCGCTTCGCGCCTCGCGCTTCGGCTCCGCTTTCTCGTCCTCCTCTCCTCCCCCTCGGGGGCGGCCCGAGAGCGCGAAGCTGGGCGCCCGTGTCCCGGGGGCCTGACCCATCTCCCCCCCCCCTTCTGCGACGCCGCGACGGCGGTGGCGACGACGGAGACCGCGAGGACACGACGCCAGCCCCAGACATGCTCCGATCTGCTTCCCTCGATGCGCGGGCCCCCTCCCCCGGGTGCAGCCCTGCCCTCCCGGACCCATGCCTGCTGGCCATCTCTGGGGCCCTGCCACGGGCCCCGGTGGCCCTCTTCGGGGCCGGGCCACGGGCCTCGGGGCAACCTCGCCCGGGGCTGCCAGAACGGCCGCGTCGAAGCGTTGGGGACGACCAGCGGCGGCGACGGCGACGCTGGCGAAGAGGCCCGCAGGCGAGCGCGTGACCCCTCCCGCCCACCGCGGCGCGGCGCGCCCCCAAGCCCCCCCCCCCCCATCCTCGATCCTCCTCTCCCCCCCCTCCTCGATCCCCCTTCCCCCCTCCTCGATCCCCCCCCTCCTCCTCTCCCCCCCTCGATCCCCCCTCCTCGATTCCCCCCCCTCCTCCCCCTCCTCGATTCCCCCCTGGGTCCTCGATCTCTCTTTCTCCCTCCCTCTTTCCCCCACTCACCGCGGCGCCACTACGGGGCGGGGAGCGCCCCCGGCAGGCAAGCGCGTGACCATCGTGGCGGGCGTCTGCGGCAACGCCCGCGCCCTCTGCACCGCGCTCACCACGCTGCTCGGCACCGGCGGCACGGTGCACCCGCGCGGGGCGCAGAGGGCCGACGTGGAGGTGCAGGGCGAGCAGGTGTCGAGGAGCAGAAAACGGCATCAACACAAACTTGTGGCGCTCCGCGCGGGTTCCTTGGATCGGCGCTGGGCCCCCCTGGCGGCGCCTCCAGCGCCGCCCCTGGCGCGCTCCGCGCGCCAGGGAGGGGGGCCCAGCGCGAATCCGAGAAATCCGCTCGGAAATCCAAAAGTTTGTTTATGCCGTTGTTTATTCCTCTGAGGTGGAGCGCGTGGGGAAGGCCCAGCAAGGGGTTCCGCATCGATTCTAGATCCTCCTCGAGCGTCGGTGTGTCGCCGCGCCGCTTGTTCCGACGCGCGGCCTTCCGTCTTGGGGAGGGCTCCTCGGCCACCAGGGCAAATTCCGCCTCGGGCGCAGGGCTTGCCGTGGGGTTTGCCGCGGTGCCGGCGTCGTCTACTGGGGCGCGGGACGCAGGACTTGCCGCGGTTCTGCCGTGGTGTCAGCGTCGTCCATTGGGGCGAGTCGAGAACAAGCGGCGCGGCGACAGATCCTCCTCGATCGTCGATGTCCTCGATCCCAGACGTCCAGCAGCGTATTGAACAAATCAAGGCGGCGGTTTTCACCCGTTTTCGGCCCACGGGGGCCTTCCTTGGGCCCTGGTATCGCCAAAAATGTGTTCGGGGCCGAAAAACCGGCCCTGGGGAAGGGGCTGGGGCTTGCGGACCCCGTGTTTAAATCCAAGACATTGGATCTCTCTCTGGGGTCCTCCTCGACCCTCGACCCTCCTCCATCGCGACCGCCCGTCGTGACCGCCGAAGGCCCTGTCGCAGTTGGGTTGCTTGCGCGGGCTGGCCGGCGAGAAGGCTGGCGGCGCGGTGGCATTGGTGGCGGAGCGGGACTGCGGCTACGACGAGTTCCTCCGCCGCACCGAGCCCCGCAGCAAGGCCCGGCACGCCAAGGCTCTGGAAGGATCGAAAGGGGCACGGAGAGAGTGGTGGCGAAGACCAGCAGCAGTTACCGCCCACCTTGAGCAAGACTCGCTGTCGGTGTCGCCACGGATTTGGTGCTGTTGGGGCAGAGAGTGGCCTGCTCAACAGCGGCCGCTGTCGGTCTTGGACAGTATTCGTTGTTGAGCATCGTTCCAGTTGTTTCCGTACCGCTCTCGAGCGTGCGAAAAGGCGCAGGGGCCAGACGCCAAGCTCCCGGAGCCGCCAGAGGACGCCCCGTGCCGCAAGTGGCACGGCTTCTGGCTCTACTGCACCGGCGCATGCGAGCAGGTGGTCGACGATGGCGTGTGGCTGGAGGCTCCGCCACACTATATCAATAAACATATCCATCTATATATAGATATATATATATATACACATACATACATATATACACATATTTGTATACATGCATATATTCACATGTACAAGACTGCATTGGCGCTTCTCGCCATGCGCTTTGTTCCAGACCCTTCCCGGCAAAGAAATAAAGCATCGCTTGCTTCACCGGGGGGGACCTCGAAGCCTGGACGGGCGACTGGCTCATTTCTCTTATATCCCTAGTGCCTGCTGACACGGCGTTCACCCGATGCGCTTGCACGCTTGTGCGCAGGAATGGGGGAGGAATGAGGGTTTTTCACGCGCGAAGGTCCTTTGAGGAAGTGAGTTCCGAACACATCGATATTTGGTGGCTTCCTGAATGCCTGGAGGGCTCCAGGGACTCAGGAAATCTTCGATCGTCGAACTTCGAATCTAGATCCATGGCCATAGCCTGTCTCTCTCAATCGAGGAAATTATACCTCGAGCCTCAAGCGCGGAACCAAGATCGTCGGGTCAGCTCGATTTACTTCGTAGGAAAACGCCGTTTGGGCGTTTTCTGGCGTTTTGGGGGGCCGTCCTGTGGCCCTCTTGGGCCGTTCCGGGGCCTTCATAGGGCCGTTTTGGGGAGCTCCTCCAGAGGTCTTCTGAACCCATCTAGGGCCCTCTTGGGGGCATCCAATGGCCGTCCTGGGGGTCTCCCATGGCTTTCGTGGGTCTCTCTTGGGAGCCTTCTGGGGGCATCTTGGGCCTCTTGCGGGCAGTCTCGGTGCTCTACGGGGCAGTCTTGGGGCCCCCCTGGGCCGTCTTCAAGCCCTCTGGAGGGCCTCTTGGGCCGTCTTGGGGCGATATCGGGGGCCCATCGGGCCGTCATGGACGCTGCGAAATCCCAAACAGTTTATACATTTTCCTTAGGGATTTTGGCCCTTCTGATCGCCTTGAGTCTGCTCGCAAGGCCGGGCAAGGCGCCCTGGAAGGCCCGGAAGGGCCAGCGGACTTTTTTCCAAGGGCGTCCAGGGGGCCGTTGAGACGTCCGAAAGGGCGTCCAGGCGTCTTTGGGGGGGGGGTCTGGTTTAGGGAAGGGGGTGGGGGGGGTCCGGGTAATAGAAATATAGGAATAGGAACAAGGGTATTCGGTTCGGCCCATCCCGCCACTGTGCTTGGGTTGTGGGTCAGGCCTCTTGTGGCCGAGACCTCGAAATGTCCGCTCGGGCTCCCCATCTGGGCCCTTTCTTGAGGCCGTCTTTGGGCACCTGTTGGGCCGTCTTGGGCGCCTTTTGGGCCGTCTTGGAGCCTTTTTGGGTCGTCTTGGGGCCCTGTTTGGGGCCTCGGGAGCCGTTTTGGGGCGATCTTGGGGGCCTCGTGGGCCGTCGTGGAGCGTCGGGGAGCCGAAAAGGCGAGAACGCCAAAACCTGTCAAAGGAACGTCCGGGTAATCAAGGATCCGTGCTTCTTGGAGCCCTCATGGTGGGCCTCTTGGAGGCCTTTGGGCGTCTTGGAGGCCTCTTGGGCCATCTTAGGGCCATCTTGGGCGTCTTGGACCGATCGTTCGGCGACTCGGGGCCCTCTTGGAACGTCTTGAGGGCCTCTTGGGGCCCTCTGGGCCTAATTATCTTGCGGCCCTCTTGGGCCCGAAAGACTTACACGAGAAGACGCGACAAGCCCCAGACGAGACGCGACAAGACCCGAGAGATTTGAGAATTCGGAGTCTCGGCCCCTGGAAGACTCCTCAAAGTGAGGATTGAGGCTTCGACGATTGGGCCCAGGACCTGATGACACGCCCCCTGCGTGCCCAGAGGCACGGTGGCGTGTGTGTATGTACATATATATAAATAAATAAATAAATATATCTATATGTATACTAGAACCATCGCGCGCGCTTCGCGCGCGCTCAAGTTCTAGCCAGGATCCTCACCATCGTCATCATCGCAATCATCACCATCGTAGTCATCGTCATGGTCGTGTTCACCATTACCATCACCAGCACAACCATCATCATCACCACCATCATCGTCAGCATCGTCAGCACCATCGTCATCATCGTCGTCGTCATCGTTGTCCTCACTATCATCGTCGTCGTCATCATCATCAGCATCATCATCGTCAGCATCAGCATCAGCATCATCATCATCATCATCATCTTCGTCGGCGCCGTCGTTGTGCTCGTCATCCTCATCATCAGCGTCGTCGCCGTCATCATCATCGGTCTACTCCAGTCTTCCAGCAGCCCCCATCCTCTCAAAGCTAACATGTGCACGCGTGCACGTAACCACCAATGGCAGGAGCATGAACTGGAGAGGTAACAATGGCGCAGACCGAACAGGGCCGTAGTACACACGAGGGCGCACACAGACGTATCGAATGCAACGCCATGCAGACCAATGCGAGTAGTAAAACAAACGCCAAACGTTGCAAATGCAGCGCGATTCACAGCATTATTGTTGAATTGAAATGCAATGCACATGCTACTCAATGCAGGCAGCTCAACGGAACGGATCGGAAGGAAGAAGGGGTGCATATGAAAGTGTCCGAAATCGCATGGGGCTCGTTTCGGTGCCTGCTCGGGGGCTCTTGGGGGCCTCCCGGGGGGCTCTTGGGGGCCTTTGGGAGCCTCTAGTGGTTTCTGGGGATGCTCTTGGGGCCGAGGGCCCGTAAAGTGCGCTCGGATCCCGCGTCTGGGCCCCTTCTTGGAGCCGTGTTGGGACTCTCTTGGGCCGTCTTCGAGGCCTCTTAAGCGGTCCCGGGGCGCTCTTGGGCCGTCTTGGGGCCGTCTTGGTGGCCTCTTGGGCCGTCTTGGGGCGATCTTGGGTGCCTCTTGGCCGTCTTGGAGCGCCAGGGAGCCCAAAAGGAGAGAAAGCCAAAAACATCGAAAAACACAATGGAAAATCAACGATTCGAGCCTCTTGGGGCCCTCTTGGAGAGCCTCTTGGAGGCCTCTTGGGGCGTCTTGGAGGCCCCTTGGGCCGTCTTGGGACCATCTTGGGCGTCTTGGAGCGATCTGGGACCGCCTCGGGGCCCTCTTGGACCATCCTGGGGGCCTCCTGGGGCCGTCTTGGAGGCCTCTTGGGTCGTCTGGAGGCTCCTTGGAGGCTCCTTGGAGGCCCCGGGGAGGGGGTATTAAAAAGCGTTCCCCGATGGTTGCGGAGTGGGCGGCCCCGCCGGGGGAGGGGGGGGCCTATTTGTTTATATTATATATATATACGCATGCATACATACATACATACATACATACCTACATACATACATACATACATACATACATACATACACACACACACACGCGATTATACATACAATGACATTATATTTACATATATATATATATAGAGAGAGAGACCGGGAGGCTGGGGGGGAAGGGAGAGGCAGAGATTTGCGATGATTCTGGGTTCTTCGGTGGCACCTTCAATTTTCTATTCTCGCGCACATTTGCCCATGTATATCTATATATATACTGGCCGATCTATGTAAACTTCTATTTAGTCGATCTGTATGTTCATATATATACACACATATATATATATGTGTATATATGTAAATGTGTATATATGTTGAATCGTGTTTGGGTCTATCGATCTATCAATCGAACTGTATAACTGTAAATATGTATATATACATATCGAAGTATCTATCGACCGACTGATCTAACTATCTATCTCCCTATCTGTCCATCTATGGTGGTGACTGGTCGTGGTGGTGATGGCGGTGATGGCGGTGACGGTGATGCTTGTGACACCGCGCCGATCCCCCAGTGCCGCCGCTGCGCCGCATCGATTCGATTCAGGTGCCATGAGCGTCTGTGAATGATGATGGTGATGATGGCGATGATGGTGCTACTGGTGCCTGTGTGCCCATCTGTCTGGGAGAATCATCGGGGCAATCTACCTGTCTATCTATCGATCTAAATTGTATACCTATATATCTGCCCATCTGCCTATTGATCTACCTATCTAACTGTCATCCTGTCACTGTGTATCCACCTGTCTGGGTCAACCGTCAGGACACCCATCAGGACACCCATCGGGACAACCATCGGGACAACCATCGGGACAACCGTCGGGACAATCATCGGGACAACCATCGGGACAACCATCGAGAAAACCATCGGGACAACCATCGGGGCAATCGTCGGGACAACCATCAGGACAACCATCGGGACAATCGTCGGGACAACCATCGGGACAACCATTGCGACACCCATCTCTGCAACCATCGGGACAACCATCGGGACAACCGACGGGACAACCATCGGGACAACCATCGGGACAGCACCATCGGGACAACACCATCGGGACAACCATCGGGACAACCATCTCTGCAACCATCGGGCCAACCATCGGGCCAACCATCGGGGCAACCATCGGGACAACCATCTCTGCAAGCATCGGGACAACCATCTCTGCAACCATTGGGACAACCATCGGGGCAACCATCGGGACAACCCCATCGGGACAACCATCGGGACAACCATCTCTGCAACCATCGGGACAACCATCGGGACAACCATCGGGTCAACCATCGGGACACCCATCGGGACAACCGTCTGGACAACCATCGGGACAACCGTCGGGACAACCATCGTGACAACCATCGGGGCAACCATCGGGGCAACCATCGGGTCAACCATCGGGACAACCGTCGGGACAACCATCGGGAACACCATCGGGACAACCGTCGGGACGGCCATCGGGACAACCATTGCGACACCCATCTCTGCAACCATCGGGACAACCATCGGGACAACCGTCGGGACAACCATCGGGACAACCATCGGGACAGCACCATCGGGACAACACCATCGGGACAACCATCTCTGCAACCATTGGGACAACCATCGGGCCAACCATCGGGGCAACCATCGGGACAACCACCTCTGCAAGCATCGGGACAACCATCTCTGCAACCATCGGGACAACCATCGGGGCAACCATCGGGACAACCCCATCGTGACAACCATCGGGACAACCACCGTGACAA